ATTTGTTTCGAAACGAGATAGATACAGTGCCATATCTAAAAAGATAGTTCATAAAACTATCATGAATACCAGGTCAATGTCATCTTAAATATGTTTGAATAGTTGGACAATCAGTGTAACACACTATTTATCAGTCTTTTCCATAAAAAGTCAATCATATCTTGATTTATGTTCCTCATGAATGGCTCAGGTAGGCTTTGGGCTAATTTGGGTCAAATGTTTTGAAAGTCTGTGGGGGTCATCTTCCTTTTAACTTTCTATTTTATATATCCCCTCCCTGTCACTAATTCTCAGAGTTATAGCATCATGTAAAATGGTATCCATATAATGATACTTTTTCTTTTTCTATAATTCATTCAGACTCGCTGAAGTCTGAAATGAGAAATTAAGAAGCCTGTTATAACAAAAATCATAAGTGTACTATATAATTCTCAAAATGCAGTACATGTAATTATGTCCTCAAAATTTATAAGTCAGTTATTCAGAGACTGCAAAGTCTCTTTTGATTGAAAATAACATTATATAGGCAATATATATGCATAGTGATCACACTTTCAATAAAAATATCTTGTAATTCATAGAGGCAGGAACATTTAATACTAAGATATGCAGCATTTATATTCATATGCAAAATTTTAATGAAAAAAAAAACAACAAATGTTGAGAATCTATATGCACAAAGAAGATAAAGCACAGAAAATAAAGCACAACTTCAATTAATACACATTTTATTTAGGTTTTGCCTCTTTATATGTTTGAAGAACTGAATTATTTCTATTGAAATAAACAAAGAAACATGTTAGAACCATATAAGACTGAGTACAGAGTACATCTATGTTGAACATTATTCTAGTTCCAAACAATTCACTTTATTAACACAAACTGGACACTGTTTCTTTCATTTTGTAAAATTGTGCAACATTACATGTTGGAGTTTTGTAAGTAGCATACCTAACTGATCCCCATTGTTGGTGATGTGTGGTCTATTTGCATGTATATTATAATCTATGGCTGCATGAAGATTGTGCATCCTATAAACAGGTGGTGTATAAGCAAATCTTTTGGTACAATACAGCAAGATGTGCTGGTGAAACCCCTCCATGCCAGCTGTACTTCTAAAAATGAATAAAAATAATGGAAAAGATATTATTATTTAAATGCTTTTAGCATTGTTTAGTAAGTAGAAATCCTTTAAACATTAACATATTCATATGCTAGATATAATCTCTGTATGTAAATAATTATCTTTGAAAAGATTTTACACAGCTCTATCCTTCAATTGATAAATGCAATAAAGGTGCCAATTAATTTATACATAATGGTTGCAGGTCCTTTTGCGTTGACATATAAAGATGCTGTAAACATCGAACATTCTATAATCAATAGACATATGAGCTTTGTATTAATCAGGACATAATTTTTTTACTCATTTCCAGTTAAGAAAATAAATACTTTTAAAAATTCCACTCCAAACTGCTAGCATATCTTAACAAAGATAGACGTATCTCCCTTGCAGAATTAAAGGCTCCAACATTGGAGCCATTGACTTCAACTTTTTTGATTAGCCAATCTGGTGGTGCAAACTAAAATTGATCCAGGGGGAGTAACCCTGTCAATATTAATTTCTTTTATTGTGTACCTGATAAGAACATAACTGCAGTCGAGAGATTATGTTATCTTATTCAGAACACCAGCCAGATCTTTCAGACTATGTGCATCTTGTTTCCTTTGCAGCCATGGTTTGTTCTGGTTTCTAATGGGCCATGATTGTACTAGGCATTAGTGTTTTCCATCATCTGAAAACAGAATCCATTCATGCTCATTAACTATATAAACAATGCAGACACTAGAAGATATTATTCCCTGAGATAAATATCAAGACAAATAAGCATGCATTAAAAAAATGGCAAAGAAGTCAGCCTTCAACAAGTTTTATGAAACATTACTAAGCATTTCACATTTTTTTTACATATAAAATGCTTACATAAATCTATGAAGTATTCCACATTATGCATCAAAACATCTTGCATGCATTAATTTTCTTGCAACAAATGACAATTATGTATTGTTATCTAGAATTTATTTAAATATTTATTGAGCAACAGAATCATCATTTAAAATTATCAAACATTCAAACAAAATCAAATATATAATAACTGTTTTCTTACCATGAATAGTTTATAGTTTGTAGCAGTTTTAGAACTAAACCAGAAATGAATTGTTGTGTCTCAATTCCACTCCAAAAGGATTGTATTGGCTTTCTTTAGTGCAACCTGAAGATTAAACCATAACTTGCTTAAGATTTAGAAAAAAAACAATTGTGGAATTCCTTTTCACTTTAGCGAAAAATATTCTACATAAGAATTGTATATATATAATTATTCAGTCTTCACCAAGTTTTACTATAGAACATAAATCTGCCCTTGTTATTAACAACAAATACAGTGCTCAGTATTGTATGCAGTGATAACACCAGTCTGTTAAAAATTCTTAGTTTAAAAGGGTAAGTTTGAATATAGAAATCATCTCCAGTTTCAATTTAAATATGTAATTATTTTATTTGAAAAATAAACAACGTTTCGACTCAAAAGTCTTCATCAGGTTTACTTTGTTTACAGGAAATGATGTTAATATGAATATCTGATCATGATATATATATATGGATCACATGTTGACATGTATATATCCATTAATTGGTTCAATAAACTAATAATAAACATGAATTTAGCAGTATTTAAGCTTAATCAGTTTTTATATGAATTATATAAGTTATGTAAGTATATAGTTATAGCAATTTTGAAAGACATTGGGTAAATTATAACCTGTCACTTCTGACAAAAATGGTGTACTGACTCTCCTCTGCATTGCAGTCGAGGTCATCTTTGATGTCCCTGGTATTGCAACACATGATGATGAAATTGATCTATTTCTGTAATTGAAAATATAGCATACTATAGTTCCATGAGTAACCATGGCCTAAAATCTTGACTATTCAAACCAATGCCAATACATGAATTGCTGCACTGCTTATTTAATAAGCATAATTATATTAGGAAAAAGGGTTGTCATTAACAATTTCAGCACAATTATGGTTATTGTCCATGATTATTTTTCAAATCGTGAAATACTGAAATTTCTCTGTGAAAATTATTCAAATAAGACAAAAATATTGATTTCTGTGCAATTTTCCAGACAACATTTTATTTTTTCTACTTTATTTCTTTGAAGATTCGGCAACCCTGGATAGTAGATCAATATATCAGACTTACGGGCTTGTTACTGCTTAAATGTCAGTCAAGGTTGCTCAAAAGCAAAAATATCTCAAAATCAAATGACGTCAAATTTATAGGACTACCCTTGATAGTTGAACATGCGGCATGCTTTCAAGAAATGCCTGTTCTGTTAGTCAATAGTTCTAACCCTGTTTGAGACACATGTGGCTAATCTATTTCACAGCATTGTACATGTAGTTATTATGCCAGTTGTACAGCTTACAGAAAAAAATGTGATTGGAAAATAAAATTTAATCAAATTATAATTATGTAGTTTCTTAAATAATTCTTAAAAGATAGTGATTGACCATCTTAAACGATATTACAATGGTTACAACATACGCCATAAATTTGTAAAGGATTAGACTCAGCCGATCTTTTATTTAACCTGTTAACAGTTTATCTGTTTATTGGTACGAAAATTACAGTGAACGAAAACTTAATACACAGACGTGGATCTGCAAGCTTAATTTCTTTATCATAAGTCAAAAGCATCCCAAAAACTTTAACATAAAATCTATGTTTATATATTCGTAGGTGATTTTTTTATAAGTAGATCTAAGACCAAGAAAAAATTAAAATGCAAATAAACAAGAGCCACCGCCGGGCGGGGGCAACGCTCGACTTTTTACTTTTTCTAAACGCAAACATAGAAAATTTTGAACATATATTAACGTTTCCTTTTATAAATTTAGTTGGTCTGTCTTGTCACATTAGTTTTCTTTATATATTTTGTATATATATGAAAAGAAACATTAAGCATATTTGTAAAAATAGCAACAGTACGCAATTTCTTAAAATAGCAACATGACGCAATTTCTAAAAATAGAAAAAATGACGCAATTTCTAAAAATACAAAAAATGACATAATTTCTAAAAATAAAAGTGACGCAATTTCTTAAAATAGCAACAATGATGCAATTTCTAAAAATTGACGCAATTTCTAAAAATAGAAAAAATGACGCAGTTTCTAAAAACAGCAAAAAATGACGCAATTTCTAAAAATAGAAAAAATGACGCAATTTCTAAAAATAGAAACAATGACGCAATTTCTAAAAATAGCAACAATGATGCAATTTCTAAAAATTGAAAAATTGACGCAATTTCTAAAAATAGAAAAAATGACGCATGACGCAATTTCTAAAAATAGAAAAAATGATGCAATCTCTAAAAATACAAAAAATAGAAATTATGACGCAATTTCTAAAAATAGAAAAAATGATGCAATCTCTAAAAATACAAAAAATAGAAATTATGACGCAATTTCTAAAAATAGAAAAAATGACGCAATTTCTAAAAATAGCACCAATGACGCAATTTCTAAAAATAGAAATTATGATGCAATTTCTAAAAATAGAAAAAATGACGCAATTTCTTAAAATAGCACCAACGATGCAATTTCTAAAAATAGAAATTATGACGCAATTTCTTAAAATAGAAAAAATGACGCAATTTCTAAAAATAGCACCAATTATGCAATTTCTAAAAATAGAAATTATGACGCAATTTCTAAAAATAGAAAAAATGACGCAATTTCTAAAAATAGCACCAACGATGCAATTTCTAAAAATATAAATTATGACGCAATTTCTTAAAATAGAAAAAATGACGCAATTTCTAAAAATAGCACCAATTATGCAATTTCTAAAAATAGAAATTATGACGCAATTTCTAAAAATAGAAAAAATGATGCAATCTCTAAAAATACAAAAAATAGAAATTATGACGCAATTTCTAAAAATAGAAAAAATGACGCAATTTCTAAAAATAGCACCAATGACGCAATTTCCTAAAATAGAAATTATGTTGCAATTTCTAAAAATAGAAAAAATAGCACAATCTCTAAAAATACTAAAAATAAAAATTATGATGCAATATCTAAAAATAGAAATTATGACGCAATTTCTAAAAATAGAAATTATGACGCAATTTCTAAAAGTAGAAATTATGACGCAATTTCTAAAAATAAAAAAAATGACACAATTTCTAAAAATAACACCAATGACGCAATTTCTAAAAATAGAAAAAATGATGCAATTTTAATAATTAGCAACAATGACGCAATTTCTAAAAATAAAAATTATGACACAATTTCTAAAAATAGAAAAAATGATGCAATCTCTAAAATTAGAAACAATGACGCAATTTCTATAAATAGCAACAATGACGCAATTTCTAAAAATAGAAATTATGACACAATTTCTAAAAATAGAAAAAATGATGCAATCTCTAAAAATACTAAAAATAGAAATTATGACGCAATATCTAAAAGTAGAAAAAATGATGCAATTTCTAAAAATAGAAATTATGACGCAATTTCTAAAAATAGAAAAAATGATGCAATCTCTAAAAATAGAAACAATGACGCAATTCTATAAAAAAAAACAATGACCCATTTTCTCTAAATAGAAACAATGACGCAATTCTATAAATAAAACAATGATGCAACTCTATAAATAGAAACAATGACACAATTTTAGTTGTTGTTGTTGTAAATTTATATATATAGACACACACACTCCCACATAAATATTTAAATATGGTCATTTAATGCACAAATCTGAGAAAATTCAGTAATTTAACCTTCAAGGTCAAGGTCATTTAAGAGCCCAAGCAAAGTTGGGTTTGATACATAACAAGGTCTGGTCCTTAAGAATGTTCTCTTATAATATGACGTTGATCCCTTCAATAATAGCAAAGTTACAGTCAGTTACCGCCAAAACAATGAAAATTTCAATAATTTGACCTTCAAAGACAATGTCATTAATGAATGAAGGTCAAGGTCTTTCGGTAAATTTTTAACAGTAATCTTTGAAGATTATTATGTTCAAGTTTCAGGACAATCCATTCAAAAATAACAAACTTACAGCCAATAAAAGCCAAAAAAATGAAAATTTCAATAATTTGACCTTCAAAGTCAAGGTCATTTATGAGTGAAGGTCAAGGTCTGGCTGGTGATTTTTAAGGGATATCCTTAAAGATTATTATGTTCATGTTTGAAGACAATCCATTCAAAAATAACAAAGTTACAGCCAATAACAGCATGAACAAGCAAAAATTGGACTTTTAACCTTGAAGGTCAAGATCATTTATGGATGAAGGTCAAGGTTAGTGTGGTCTACTGAAAGGTCTTGTCCCAAGGGTTGTTGTGGCCAAGTATGAAGACAATACACAAAGAAATAAAAAAGTTATGATCCAGGTACAAGTTTTCGGACGGCAACGGCTACGGCAATGGCAACGGCAACGCCGACCTGACTATAACAATACCTCTATTTTTTTTTTTTTCAAAAAAAAAGTCGAGCTAAAAATGACCTCACCTGTCAATCAGATAGACAACTTCACAGTCCCTTTTGGCTTTAATTACCCTTTTTAGAACTTTTCATCGCTTTGAATCACTACCAGAGTATATCCTTGATTGAATTAAATCACAGTTTCTTTCCACTTTTCGCATTTTCCTTAACCAATCTCAAAATTTCTTTCTCGTATACGCGTGACACACCTTTCGTATTGTCCGCCATTAATATTGAACAGTTTGAACAGTTTATTTGAAAATGCTGGGCCTCATAGAGGCATCAGTCACATATACAATAATATATACATATAGTATGACATATAAAGAGATATCCCCGAAATATGCTGATGTATTACATGGCAAATATAAATCAAAAATGAAAGTGTTACATTATGAAAATAAGCTTAGTTATCAGTTACTTAAATGCTGAAATAATTTTTTTTACAGAATACTGCAAGTTTTAACAATATACTCCTATCTGTGCTATTCATTAACATAGAAAACTTGATTGAATTAACATTAGTACTATACTCTCTAGTAATATATTTTTTTCTATCAGTATTAAAGAATTGACAATTAAATAAATAATGATATTCATCACCAAGTGAGCTATTATTGCATAAATTACACACTCTTAATTCTCTTGGTATATTACAAAATCTACCAGACTCAATAGGCATTTTATGGTTCATACATCTAAAACGCAATCGTACCAAAGCTAAATGAGATGGTAAAATATCTAAAAACTTTTCAAATCTGAATTCACTTTTGTACATTCTATAATTCAGACATTTACTCGATTGTGACATTTCACTATGCCAATTTTGAATGAACTGATCTTTCAGTCTATTTTTAACAATTTTCTTAAACAATGGAAGAGAAGTGGCAACATTATTAATCCAAAAATTTGATAAACCCAGTGAATCTAGTAATTTACAAACACTATTCATCCATGGGAGTTTCAACACATTTCTACAATACAAAGAGTGTGACATATCATACAATATATGGCTTATTGATTCCTGTTTGCTACTTAAAATCTTATTCCAAAAGCACAAAACTCTACTTTTTATATGATTAGATAAAGGTAATATCCCTAAATCTCCATAAAGCATACAATTTGGAGTACTTTGTTTCAAATTTAATATGAGTTTATAAAATTTTAATTGAAATATATCAATGATATTCACATTTTCAATTCCCCACACTTCGCTACCATATAACAATATAGGTGCTACCATGCTATCAAATAAATGAATTTGCATACTGATAGGCAAATCCAATTTTCTAGCCTTAACTATAATTGAAAACATAGCCTTCCTTGCCTGTTCTAATAAATGATTCTTTGTTTTAGCAAATTTACCATTATAAGAGAACTTAACACCCAGATATGAAAAATCATCAACAATTTCTAGCAAATTACCTTCAAAACTAAAGGCTGGAATATTACATAAACCTCTTTTACTTTTACAAAAAACAACAATTTTAGTTTTACTAGGATTAACTTGTAAATGCCATAATTGACAATAATTTGACATTGCATCTAATGCTTTTTGCAGTTCTTCAGCAGATTCAGCAAATATGACAGTGTCATCAGCATATAAAAGAATATACAATTTAAAATACATTTCAACATCAGAATCACTCAGGGTATCATTTACAATGTTTGATAGAAGATCCAGACCATTAAAATGTTGTGACAGGAAATAGTTTAAATCATTTAAAAATAAAGAAAACAATATGGGAGATAAATTTTCACCCTGACGAACGCCTGTATGACTTGTAAAAAAATCCGACATATGACTAAAAGAATTAATTTTAACACAAGATTTAGCTTGTAAATACATGTTATAAATGATCTTTATACATTTACCATCAACATTATTGCTAATTAATTTCTGCCAAAGTGCAGTTCTATTTATGCTATCAAAAGCCTTTCTATAATCAATAAAAGAACAATATAACTTTTTACCTTTAGACAGATATAAATCAATCAAAGTTTTCAGAGGAAATATATGATCAGTAGTGCTATACTTTTTTCCTAAATCCAGCTTGTTCTTCACAGAGAATATTATTACTTTCTAAAAAATTATTGAGTCTAGAGTTAAGAACATTTGTGAAAAGTTTCCCAAAACAACTAAGTATAGTAATTCCCCTATAATTATCTGGATCGTCTATGTTACCCTTGTTTTTGTATATTGGTAAATAATCCCTTTACTCCAAACTTCAGGAAAAATTCCAGAATCTAAAATAATATTAAACAAATAACAAAAACACATCAAACATGCTGTCGGGTACATTCTTCAGATATTCATTCAATACATGATCAAAGGAAGATGATGCTTTATTGTTTTTCAGTGAAATAATAGCTTTACGCATTTCTAATACAGTAAATGGTTTATCTAAATCAGAGTTATTTGACAAGACATTAGTTATATCAAAGTCATCAATGTCAACTTGAGTGTCAACCTCATTCAATTTACTAAAATGATCAAAAAAAGCCTCAGTTGTTACTTTGTTAATAACTTCCTTCCGATCACCTGAATATTTGTTCAATAGACTCCAATAAGATCTAGGATCTTTATTTTTTAAACCTTTAATTTTATCAACAATGCTTTTCTGATATGCTCTAAACTTTTTCTTAACTTCTTTTTTATACTGTCGGCTACTACAAACTAAACTCTCTTTATTTTCTGCAGTAGGGTTCCTGCTATACATGTTTTTATAATTCATATATTGAATACGAGCATTTTTACAATCACTATCAAACCAAATTTTATTGTTTTTCTTAGACTTCCTATGATTAACGTTTTTCTTTATAAGATCACAACTTACAGCTGCATCGGTTAAAATACCAGACACTTTACCGGTCAAATGATTAACAACATTTACATCAAAATGAAGATTTTCACAAACCTCTTTAAGCTCATCCAATAAATTTGATACAGCTGTGCTATCGAACTTATGCTTATAACTAGCACTTAAATTAGAACTCCACACAGGCCTATAACAAACATCATCTTTAGATTTGATACTTGCATCCATAACATTACAATCTGGTATAATGTTCAAGTTAAAACAAAATTCCAATGCACAATGCACATCAGATAAAATTGGATCAAATTGCAAAACATTAAAATATGTTATACAAGGGAACAAAATTCCTGACATAAGCAAATAATCAATCAAGCTACCATTACCTTTATTACATGTGTTTCTACCAATATATGCATCATTACCACATCTACCATTACCAATAAAGATATTTGCAGATTTACACAACTGAATAAGTCTCTGGCCATAATTATTACATTTGCTGTCACAAGAAAAACGTTCAACAGGGAAACCAAGTTCATCAAGGTTATTCATAACTATATGTTGCATGGTAATATCATCAAAATTTTCATTAATTACATACTTATCAAAGTCAACAAAATCACTCAAGGAACCAGTTCTTGCATTGAAATCACCAAAAATACAGAATAAACAGTTTGCAAATTTGATTTTCAAATCAATAATACAACTTTCTAAGCTATCAAATAATTCAAGAGAGCTATAATGAGATCCTTCAGGAGGAATATAAACATTTCCAAAGATGACATCAGAATCTTTGCATTTTAAAAATAAAAAATTCTCAGAGCTACAATCTAACACAGTTAACTTTGTGGATAAAGATTTCTTGATAAAAACTCCCACTCCCCCCGATTTATTACGGCATTTATCTCGAAATTTGTGAAAGAAAACATAGTCTTTCATACAAACAGTGTCATATGCATCTAATTTAGTTTCAGAAACAAAAAATATATCGTATTTTTCAACAAAATTAATGAAGTCTGGAATTACAAGTTTAGATCTAAGCCCACATACATTTATAGAACAACATTTTGTAATATTAGAAATATTAGACATACAATATACATGATCATGTGAAATATCATCACAATTATTAAAAGAATTAAGCATACTTAAATCACTAGAGTTAACAAGTGATGATTTTAACTGACTTGAGTAACTTGTACTCGAACAAGGTTGAATATTTATTAAACACTGATCTATATGACTAGAATTATCATTGTTCCACTGATTTTGATTCACTTGACCCAAGTCACTGTTATTCGGTAACTGTTTATCATCATGATTACTTAAAGTAGAATCCTTGTCAGCAGATACACACATATTAACTTGATTAGAGTCAAATTTTAAGTTCATACTACATGCCCCTATATCACTATTATGGTAATAAAAATCAACGTGCGATAACTGTTTATTAATGTTGTCATTTTTACTACAAGATAACTTGTTTCCATCATCACCCTGGTTAGAAACTATATCAACTGAAATAAACTTATTGGAATCGTTACTTGTTGAACAGTCTTGACCACCGATCAAGTTATAACTAGAACAAAAATTAAATGAAGATGAACTAATAGGGTCATTTATTCCCAAACATAACTGGTTACGAGTAGACTGAGCCTCTGCGTATTCCTATTCATAGGCTTCAAGACCAAGTTTTCTAAAGTCAATTGGCAACTCAATCTTAAAAAGATCATCTGGTGAAGAGATTACTTCATCTTTATTCTTGAATAAACAATGAATGTTACCATCACGAGTGTAAAGTTTAGAAACTTTCCCCGATTCCTTGATATAATCCTTTAGACGTAGCCTCAACGGTGTTAGATCATCAGATATGAACACTCCCTTGTACGTTTCATTTATCAATCACGTGACTCAGATCCGAACATTGGTAGCAAGACATCTCACCCACCAGACACTTCACTCCTCAAATTTCGAAGACACTCCACCCCTTAAGACACTTCATCCCCCAAAATCAGTAACACACTTCACCCCTCATCCAATTTTTTTCTATAAAGTAAATAAAACAAGTTGTCAACAACAAAATGCGTATATATGTTTATATTTATTATATTTTTTAGTATTATTTGATTAAAATTTTTGCTTATTACCTTTATTTTTACTAAGTTTAAAGCTGATATAGGTTAATTGGTTGTATTGCCATATGATATATCACAGCACTTTCATCCATTAATTGTTTATTGCATGTCACCTTGTTTATTCAACATGTTGATTAGTTGTTTATTCAACGGTTATCTCACAATTGATTAGATAATTGAATTAAAATGGTATAATTGTATGAAAATTAAATTTATTTTCTTAATAAATAAATTAAATAAAGAAATACATAAAATAAATATAAATGAATATGAATGAATAAATTGGTTGCTTTATATGCTTTAATGGTAACATTCAGTGATGTAACTCAAGTTCATTATATACTAAGCCAAGCAAAGCAATTAAAATGATCTACAATAAGCATCTCACGTGACTACCCCAGTGAAATTGCCAATGCAAGGAAGTCTCTCTGGGCCGAATTTAAAGATTTGCGTTCCAAACATGGCGCCGACAATGTAAAGCTTATATTCCCAGCAGCTATACTAGTAAAGGGCACTGTTTACAAAGACTTATTCCCAGATTGGCACTCGGTACTCTCACATTCCCGAGTCACTAATGTTAATGATAGAATTATCAAATCATTAAATGAGCACACCGATTGGAAGACGGATTCCATTAACCATCCATTGTTTGCGAATAAAACTGCCTGCCCTCCAAGCCAACCTCTTAGTCACCAGCCAACTGTAGTATCTAGCAACACCAACGGAAACAACGATAAACTCCCGAGGCAATCACATACGCCGTACGATAATTCTGGTAAAAACACCACCGAAAGTGATGACACACTTTTAAAACTATTACACACTCCTAACGATAATTCAAGCGGAAACTCCCCCAACAACTCACCTCGTGGTCATCTTCATCGTAGCAGATCAACATCCCGACGCACACGCGTTCCTATACGTAATTTATCACCAGAATCTACAAGTCATAGGTCGCCATCTATCCAACAAATTCGTGAGCAGTTCAATTCTAGTCGTGAACCTTCAACTACTCGCCGTGAACAACTGACACAACAATCAAGTGTAACATAGGCCAAACAGGGGCCAGTGAACTCAAATACAATTAACCTTAGTCATAAAACTAAATCAAACGACTTGAAAATTGGTACCTTGAACGTATGTGGCATAAAAAATAGAGTTAATTTTCCAGATTTTGTAGAACTTATATCAAAATATGATGTTTTTTGTTGCACTGAGTGTAAAATAGATAGTTATGATGAAATTTGTATTGATAACTACACATTTTTAAAACAACCAAGAAAACAGGCTTTTTTGCGACGATCTGGTGGGCTAGGGGTTTTTGTAAAAGACGAGTTGCTTAAATATGTTGAAGTAATTGAATCAAAATCTGATTACGTTTTCTGGATAAAACTTAAAAACAATGTTTTTATTTGTTTGGGTCGTCAGACCAAACAAATAATGGTAGCGAAATTTCAGAGTCTAATGTTGCTAATTGCAAATGCCGAAAGTAGTCCAATTTTTTGGAGCGGTTACTTCCCTTTTGTATGTACACTAAAGCCGAAAAATTCAGGGGAGATCACTGCGTAAAGATGGTCAAAGACAGGCGCATCAATTTTCAAGCAAAGTAATTCCCGAATGGTCAAAGATTTCTAAAAATGTTTTATTGTATTTTCTGATCGAAAATAACTAAATACAAAGCGGACATTCAATCTCTGACACAGAAGTTTACTACAAACCTAACAACAAGTAGTTCTCAAAACAGCTAAAAACTAGCGATTTAAAAGAAAGAAATATTTTATTTTGTTACAAGTATCCAACAAATTACAACGCATTTAAAGTTAAACAATAGCGTTGGCTTATAGAATTGTCAATAAATGCACAATCACAAATTACGCGGATGAATATGATTTTATCAATGAAAATACTACTTTTAGCCATGTTGATTACCGAATACTACACAAACCGAGTAGTGGAATATATAGATTCTACATGCCGGACCGTTTGGGCGAGAGGATTTTTGCTAAAATATCTACTTCAATTATAAACAACAGGTTTAGCCTAAACAAAATACCTCGAAATTAATAAGGATTACAAACCCGAACTGCAATGGAAGTTCCAAATTTAGAATGATTTGATATTATTCAGACACACTGTGTATAACTTTTCCGTGGTACAAGGGTAACGCGCTCGCCTCGTGAGTGAGAGGTCTTGAGTTCGTATCCAAGTCGAGAAAACTTTTTTTTTTGTTAAATTCTTTTTTTTAAGTGTTTTTGTTAAGGAAGTAGCCATGATATACAAAGATAAAGTGTGGCTGTCGTAAAAAAAGGACATAAATGATTTTTTGATGCAACTCTAGTTATGCAGAATTACGGATGTATCAAACTCTGGTGCCTTACAAAAGGAATTATTATACATAAAAATAAACTTATAAAGGAAAATGCATACAGATATACAGTACGATTGCAAAGATCAGAAAATACCACAGAACTTGCAGCAGTTTGATTCTTTATAAATATACATGCTTATAGTAAGCTCCAGGATTATTTACATCTGTGTTAAACAACAGTTAAAGTCGTTACAAGCCCTAATTCAGAATAATATGGTTTTCTTCAGGCCGTTCACATATAAATTCACCGTGGCTGAAGGGTTTTCGGGCTCGCTTAGGAAGCGAGAGGTCTGGAGTTCAAATCCCAGTAAAGGTTACTCATTTTTTTAAATTGTTAAAGTCAAGTAAACATTGGATTGAATATCAGTGTTGCAATTAGTCTAATAGCCAATTTACTACAATTAAAACGCTGGAAAGCATTGGTGGCACTAAACATATAATCTCACAACCTGCACCTTTCTTACATTCTGAGACCCAAACAAATTCAGCGCCTTCTGTGCTTTGATTAACCCTTGTCGTTATTTAGTAATTGGTATAGTTTATATCCCACCAGAGTCGTCTAATTATTATAAATCTGATGAGTTGTTAATATTTGAAAATGAAGTTTTTGAATCATGTAATATGTATGACCATGTACTTTTAACTGGAGATGCAAATGCTCATATCGGTCTATTACAAGGTTTATCCGAACCAGATAATTTTTTATCACGTCATTTTGATTTTGATGACGACATGATAAACTTTTTTAGTCAAGCTGATGCTTTACAAAACCTAGGCATACCTATTCAAAGAGTATCCAAAGATTTAAACATAAATACTACTGGAAGAATGTTAATAGACTTATGTATAAACAATAATTTGTATATTTTAAACGGTCGCTTTGGCCAAGATAGTTTAGAAGGTGCGCCAACATTTAGAAATTTATCAGTAATTGATTACTCTATAACATCTGCTAAGTTACTGCCTTTCCTTATAGATTTCAGCATAACTGAAGTCGACTGTCTGTACTCCGACGGACACTCGCTGCTTACAACTTGTTTAAATTTCGATAAAACGGAGTCAACTTCACAACAAAATGAGCCCCTACAAACTATCTCTCATCCTAGGTGGCAAGACAATAAATGTAATGATTTTTTACAAAACATTGACCAAAACATTGTGTTATGTGTTGAAAATTTATTATATGAGTTCCCGTCAGAGATATCCGAACAAAAAAATGCTCTCGACAGAATAACAGAAAATATCTCTGTCATATTTCAAAATTCAGCTGAAGTAACCTTTAATGTAAATAAAGACTCGCATGTTTTTACAAAATATAAAAATAATCAAATTCATAATAAGAAAAATAAACCCTGGTATGGGCCTCGGTGTAGAAATAAACGTGTTATTTACAATCGCGCAAGAAAAAATTTCAGTCAAAACAAATCGGTTAATAATAGAAGGTTACTCAACCGTGCGAGCATCGATTACAAACGTACAATGAAATTTTATATGAATCGCCACAATTTTATCAATGAATCAAAACTACGTAATATGCATTCTTCGGACCCGAAATCTTACTGGAGATTTTTAAATTCTTTGAATAGAAATAATTCAACAAACGTGCCAGATATAGAGGATATTGAATGAGTGTAAGTTCAATACTGAATTTATTGCACGAGTTGAATAAAATTATATTATGCGAGCCTCTGGCGAGCATAATATTATTTTATTCAACGAGTGCAATAAATTCAATAATGAACTTACACGAATTTAATATTCTATTTATCACATACCCAAAATAAAGACCGTTTAAAGTGAAATAAGAGTCATTTTTCATTGACGCGCCGATAGTATAACGCTAACATTTAGCGCGTCTTTACACTTTGTTTGTATAACGCTAATGACGTCACGTCAAAATATATGCACGGCCGTGCAATACCATATTTACGGAGTCGCAAAATCGGCACGGGTGTGTGATAAATAAAAGTTTTTTATGAGTATTTTCAAAAAGTTAATAAAGTAACGGACAATGAAGAATCTTTTCACGTTGATGATACAAATATGAACTTTGATGATGATATTTTAAATTCTCCATTCACAAACAGCGAAATTTCAAAAGTTATTAATAAATTTAAAAATGGCAAAGCCTTTAGTAGGTCTGACAATATTTCAAATGAATATATTAAATCCACAGAACATATAATGTTGCCAATTTATACTAAATTATTTAACAAAATTTTAGAAACAGGCTTAATTCCGACTACTTGGTCTGAAGGCTACATAATTCCTATTTACAAAGGCAAAGGTTCTACTTATTCACCTGAAAATTATAGACCAATAACTATACTTTCCTGTCTTTCTAAATTATTTACAAGCGCTTTAAATGAGAGGCTGACAAAATTTGTAGATACTTATAATTTATTGAACGAAAATCAGTGTGGTTTCAGGAAAAACCATAGCACGTTAGATCATGTTTTCACTCTTAACTTTCTTGTAGAGTTATTGAAATCACAAAAGAGTAAATTATTTGTGGGATTTATCGATTTTTCTCGTGCTTTTGATAATTTGCCGCGTGCTCAATTATTTCAGAAATTAACAAGAAAAGCATTGATGCAAAGCATCAAAGGGCGACGCCAAAAGAATTTGATCCAGATTTGCACCTAAATACTTAACAAAAGATGTGTACTTTATAGCAGTACCATTACATGTGACCTGGAGGCTAGGGCCAGGTTAAGTTGAAACTTAAACCAAAAAAGAATAGACTCTGTCTTGCCAAGATGCAAAGGCAATTTATAGTCAATTAAGCAATCTTATAAGACTCATGTTATAAGAAAGAATTTCTTCAGATTTAATTTATGAGACACAAGGATTCCTGAGTCATCAGCATATAATCACTGGCACGAGTATCGGACCTGGGAAGAAAAAATATGACCAGATGACCAGATTGATAAAAAAAAAACTGTGTTTATAAAAACCAAAATAAAAAATGTAAATAATGATCCCCTTTAAAAATATACTTTCAACTTGAAGTATATTTTTAAAGGGGGTCATTATTTACATTTTATTTTGGTTGTTGACACTTTTAAGATGAACACAGGTTTTTTTATCAATCTGGCCATATTTTTTCATCCAAGGTCTGATGCTCGTGCCTGTGCATTATAATAAAAGCTTATTGCTTAGGGTTGAAGACATGTAATTGACATATATTAGACATAAAAGAGGACCTAAAATGAACATCAGGGGGACAGCATAGGTACTCAGAGCAGTAGTAGAATAAGTACCAGCCACATCAACCAGCTACTATCAGAGATAAGACTTAAACCATGTAAGAATGTCATTATATATGGCAGATGCTTGAAGTTTCATGAAGAAGAAGAAAAACAACTTCTTCATGTGCAGGATAGTGTGTTCAACTGTATCAAATGCCCTTTGTAGATCTAAAAGTATCATGCAATACTGCCTTTGTCCATTTCAAATAATGCAATCTGTTAAATGAATCAAACATGTGTCAATTGAAAAACCACTTCTAAACCCTGACTGAAACTGCCTGACCATGACTCAAACCCATGACTTTCAGAAGACCAACTGAGCTATCCGTCCTGCTACACATTTTCTCTTTAATAATGAAACAGTTCTAAACCACAACATAT